GTCTTTGACGACATAGAGTCCATGATTTTGCGGGGTACGCTGATCATGCACTCCCATGCTTCGCCCATGTGAGATGCATGGGGAGAGTAATTTTTGGCCTTCAGGCATTTGTCAATCACTGGGTCATGATGAATACCTTCAATAGTCTGTAAGTCCTTGCAGGCTCCTACAAAGTTAGTTCTTGGGATGCTAAGACAAGTGATCAATACTATGCCCACTCTCAGGTGTCTCCATTTAAAGAGTGTTCGAAGCGGGCTGGTTTTAGGAATTGGCTAGAAGGTGGTTTCTCTGTCTCTTTGCCCATTGAGGACAAGCAGATGGTCTGGACAATCGTTTTCTCATTCTGTCTGAGAAATTTACTGGGTGCCTGAGGTTGAACGTTGGCATGTTGATCTGGAGCTAGAAGCATATAGCGTTTTGGTCTATGTGGCATTGGGCTGTCTGGACAAGCCAAGAAATCAGGACCTTTTAGCCCAGTGGTTCTCAACCTGTGGGTCGGGACCCCATTTGGGGTCGAATGACCATTTCACGGGGGTCGCCAAACCATGCTGTCCGCCATTTTTTCCCTTTTCTCTAGCTGTCCTACTCCCTCTTATTGGTGGCCACACCCACTTGGGGGTCACCACAACATGGGGAACTATGTTATGGGGTCACGGCATTAGAAAGGTTGAGAACCACTGTTTTAGCCAGATCAATTCTGTCAACTGTGTCGCAAGGGTGGGCCAATTAGCTTGGTCCACAAGGTTCTTATCTGTTGGCACATGTTGCCATTGTTCAGGGCTTAGAGATGTTTCAATCTTATCTACTCTATTGCCTACATAGACGTAGAAGTGTCTGCTTTGGTTGCAGATGTAGCTTGACATCACCTTGCTGTCTGTGTAGAAGGTGGTAGACTGTAGCTCAAGGCCTATCGTTTTCGTTGTCAGGTTGGTGAGTTTTGCTGTCAATATGGTACCACAGAGTTCTAACCTTGGTACGTTGTGGCCTTGTTGTATTGTTAGTCTCGCTTTTCCAAAGATGAAACCAACACTGCATCTCTCCCCGCTGCAGACTCTGATGTATCTTATGGTTGCAATCACCTTCGTTGATACATCTGAGGAAGCGTACAATTCTTTCTTTTGTACAGTGGTGGGTGAGCTGGAGACATACATGCGTTGCACATGTATGCTTTGGAGACATCTTAGGAGTGCACTCCATGACTCCCAGTCTTGTTTCTGTTCTGGCGGATGCGGCCCGTGTAGTGCTTTGGGAGAACGTGCGTCACTGCAGAGATTGTTTGTCCTCTATGGACAAGGCTAAATTGTTGTAATTCTTACTGGTCTGGAACACTGTTGCTTCCAAAATGGGTTTGGTTGTCACAAGCGTGAAGTGTTCTTGGCGTGGTTTTAGGTGGGAATCTCTTCCATTGCTGAGAATGGAGGTTCTTGAGATATTCACCTGGGTTGGAGTTTGCGGTTGATCAACACAGATCGTTCCTGGGATGACCCATTCAGGTTCCATGTTAAAGGCAGTTGAGCTTGTTGGGCCTCTGACCATTCAGTGGTAGGCAAAGGTGTCAGGGACGTTTACTCTCAACGGAGTCAAGCTTTCATCTTCAGGAGTTAGGAACCGTAAGGCAATTGGGGGGAGCTGGTCTACACAGAACGTTCCAGGGATGACCAATCCAGGATTTAGGAATGGTGAGCTCCCATCTAGCGGCTGGATGTGGAGTCCATAGCCTTCCTCCCCGCTATGCTCTGTGGCACAGAGCACATTTCTTTGCTTGGGGGTTCACTGGGGAATGGTGGGTCAGTACACACTAATGTGCAGTGGACCTTGGCGGGTGCTTCTGGTTGCTCTTTGGAGCCATGCTGGGGCTCCTTGGTTGAAGGAGGAGTAGAAGGTGCTTGTTGTGGCTGTCCAGAGTCTGGATGCAGGCCTTCCGGGTGCTTGTCACTCTTGTTCGGATGACACTTCCTCTTAGCTTCACTAGCTTTGGCCGTGTCTTCCGAAGACTCACAGCATTTGAAGCCTCCTTGAACTCTCCTAAGTCCAACTTTCTTCCCCAGGGTGTTGGAGGATCCAATGGTGCTGTGCGGGGTTTGCCATCAGGCTGGGTTGGTACAGTGTTGAGGTCATCTGGAGCATGATCAGTGGCTTCTTGTTGAACCTCATAAACCTTGCTTCCAAGAGCAGGGACACGTGGCACAGATGGCTGACGTTTTTCTTCAGAAAACTCCTTGTTGGGGTTAACTTCCAGCGGCACAGACAAGGAACCTTCAAGGTCTGGCCTAAATAGAGGTATTTTTATATTGAGCTGAGGGGGCCTGACTTCTTATGTGCTTACTTGTTGGGGGGGGGGTTCTTGTTGTTCAGATGGTGTGTTGGCAACTCCTTGGTCAGTTGGCACATCTGGTGGTGGAGATTCTCCTCCCTAGCTACGTGGTCTTGGGGGGGGGGGGTTGTGGATAACCGCGGCGCTCCTACCTACTCATGTTGAAACGCACTCTGGTTGTCAATGTAGGCCTGCACACGGCTATGCTGATTCTCAATCTCCATTCATTTCAAATTGCGCAAGAAAGTGGTCCGTTGGAGTGTCTCCTGAAGGGCTTCCGCTCTTGCTGCTTTATGTGCCACCTCTTGTTGGCTCTGTATGAGCTTTCGTTTGGCCTCCCTTTGAGCTGCTTCAGCTTCCTTTTGGGCTGCTTCAGCCTTTCGTTTGGCCTCCTTTTGAGCTGCTTCAGCTTCTCTTTGCGCTGCTTCGATCTTTCATTTTGCCTCCATATGAGCTGCTTCAGTTTTTCGTTTGGCCTCCACTTGGGCTGCTTCAGCCTCTTTCATCGCCAATTCTTTCTTTTTCCGCTGCTCCACTTCTAACCCATGATAGACTCTGATGGCTTTGAAGTGATGGGAGGCATCTGAGATGGAAAGTTGTTATGACATGCTGGAATGTGCCTGGGGCCACATGTGATTGCTGGGATGGTGCATTCGCCATGCGAATGGCGGGAAACTGACAGTGAAGAAGAACAGCTTGTCTCCAGAAATCATGGGCGCTCCATTGCTAGAGATTTTTAAGAAGAGGCTAGACAGTCACTTGTCTAAGATGATATAGGTCCTCCTGCTTGAGCAGGGGGCTGAACTAGAAGGCCTCCAAGGTCCCTTCCAACTTCTATTCTATTCTATCCTATCCTATCCTATCCTATCCTATCTTATCCTATCCTATCCTATCCTATCCTATCCTATTCTATTCTATTCTATTCTATTCTATTCTATTCTATTCTATTCTATTCCTAACTGAAATGATATTTCCTGATGGTTTCCAAGCACCAATCAGATCCAATACTATTGATTAGACTTTCTGGATACAACTAACATAAAAAAGTGAAAACAAAAACGTAATAAACTTTGTTTAGCAACAAAGAAACAATAAATTTATAGAATCCTCTCAGAGGGCTTTCTGGTAATGGTTGTGCAAGAGGGGAGGAGAATGCAGGTGAATACATTTCAAGGATATTTATCACTTGTTTTCACTCTTTTCTCTCCTGGGATTTAAGCTTGTGCCTTGAGGGAAATAGGTGGGATGAGATAAAAGCTAGTTGCTTTTCCAGGATTCTTGTTCCCTGAAGAGAGAACATAATTATAGTGTTTGCAATTTCAAGCAGAGGAGTAACTAGGGACAATTACCATTACCCTCTGCTGTTATTCCTCCTTACATCAGGTTGGAATATGTTAGAATATTTGCTATGCAACATTTACTGTGCTTTGGATTCTCTCAGAATTAGTTTGCTGGACCCACACAGGCCACTGAACAGGTGGGAGATATGCCAGCACTTTGAATAATTATTGTATTTATTTATTTATTTGGAAAATTATGTTGACGCCTACATGATCACTGCAATTCAAGGTGGCTTACAGGAAATACATACATACATACATACATACATATATTAGAATGTAATATATTATGACAATCATATTATATTACAATTATATATAATGCTATATAACAATATCAGATCCCTATTGGACTGAACTGTATAAATTTTATCAGTAATTTTTAAAAGTCTTATTTATTTATTTATAAGATATATATACTACCCCAATTCTAAATTCTAGGTGGCTTATTGTATAATCAAAAATGCAAGGACATAATATAATATGAAAAGCATATTAAATTAAGACTCAAATTACATTATAAAATACAATGTAATATTATATAATAATTCAGATATTTGTATTAAAAAGTGCTTTAATGTTTTGAGTTGCAACAATTTTAAAAATAACACCCAATGCGATTAAAAAGTTTCATTTAGCTTATGAGTAAACTTTAGAGTATTATTAATAGTTTCCTTTTAAATTTTTATTAGTTTTAGTATGGTTTATCAATATTGATTTGTTAATATTATTATGTTTATTTTTAATTTGTTTATATTTATGTTATAAGAGAGTTAAAGTGCATTATGGATTTGGTTACTTGTATAGTTGGGTAATGTTTTTTTTTTTAGAGTTTGATTGTTTATTTGTAACCCTGTATTCAGCTCTGGGAAGTGGGGTAGGGGGGTAGGGGTGGGTGGGTCTTGGGATGCATATTGTACAAAACTTTTCAATAAAAAAAAATAACATCCAATGCATCACTTCTATGTCAAACAGTAATGGGTGAATTACTTCAAGGTCCCATATCTCTGACACAAATGTAGTTTCACTTATAGAAGAGTCAATTAACACATTCAATTGCAACTCTTAGTTTTTAATGGCCTAAAAATGATATGTTATACAGATATGAATTATTTGCTAGAAAAATAAATGAGTGGAAAAACTAAATGTATTTAAAAACGAACAGAACGACAGAACCACAAATGTTTTTATCATCTGCTTTTCAGTTTCAAAATGCCTTCACTAGAGGTCACTGTTGCATCAGAAAATGGATGAGGAGAAAGAAATTAGAGCTCCTCCTTTGATGTGACTACAAAACATTTTTTTTGTCATATATATATAATGATATCCAGCCCAGACTACAAGAATACTGGAATTAATGTGAATTATATTGTAAATGCTGATTTGGATGTCTATTCTGAATCTGCTCTTGGGTCTCTTCAAGAGATGCATGTATAAGAAAAAAAATTACTATTGATTTTTTTGCCTGTATTTACAATGATTGTCTGGAAGAATGAATCTGTGGCAAATTGGCTGCTACAACTGGTTCTGCTTGAGACCGCCTGGAAAATGGGGAGCGGGCAGCTCCATTATTCTGTGCTGGAGGAATCCCAGCACGGCACTTTTGTGGGCCGCATCGCCCAGGATCTGGGGTTGGAGGTGAGTGAGCTGGTGCCTCGGATGTTCCGGATGCTGCCCAAAGGAGAGAAGGACTATTTTGAGGTAAACCTGCAGAATGGGATCTTGTTTGTAAATTCCCGGATAGACAGGGAGGAGCTGTGTGCCAAGACTGCAGACTGTGTCCTTCATCTGGAGGTGATTGTGGAGAAACCTCTGAGATTGTTTTATGTGGAGGTTGAAATAAAAGACATTAATGACAATGCTCCCGTCTTCTCAGCAAGGGAACAGATCCTGAGCATAGCAGAATTGATAACAGCATCTGGTGCCCAGTTCCCCTTAGAAGGCGCCTCTGATGCAGATATTGGTACTAATGCTCTGCTAACCTACAAGCTCAGCCTCAATGAATATTTCATTGTAGAACAGAAAACAGATGAGAAATTCAACAAACCTTTAGCAATTGTTTTAAAGAAGCCACTGGACAGGGAGGAGAGCCCTGTGCATCATTTAGTACTGACAGCCACTGATGGGGGTGAACCAAAACTCACAGGAACTGTTCAGCTGGTCATCAATGTGCTGGATGTTAATGACAACCCTCCTGTGTTTAATCCATCAATTTACAAGGTAAAATTGTTAGAAAATGCAGCAGTTGGAACACTAGTTATTAAAGTGAATGCCACAGATTTAGATGAGGGAATGAATAAGGAAATTTATTATTCTTTTACTAATCATGTACCATTAAATTTTCAGAAAATTTTTAGCATAAATTCTAATACAGGGGAAGTAATTGTAGAAGGAGGGGTTGATTTTGAAGACCTTGCTACATATGATCTTCAGATTGAGGCAGAAGATAAAGGGTTCCCCCCTTTGTCAGGGCATTGTCAGCTGATAATTGAAGTTCTGGATATAAATGACAATGAACCGGAGTTGTTCATCTCATCACTCTTAGTGCCAGTGCTAGAGGACTCACCACTGGGGACAGTAGTAGCCCTAATCAGTGTTGCAGATAGGGACTCAGGGGACAATGGACAAATACATTGCTTACTCTGGCCTCCTAGTGTACCCTTCCAACTTGTATCCAATTTCAAGAACTATTATTCTTTAGTAGTGGCTGAGTCCCTTGATCGGGAACAAGTTGCTGAGTATCAGTTGATGGTGAAAACAGAAGATCAAGGAATCCCATCATTATCAGCCAGTAGTATCTTGATATTACCAATCAGTGACATAAATGATAATGCTCCAGCCTTCACACAGCCCTCCTACACAGTCTTTGTGAAGGAGAACAATCCCCCTGGTGCTCACATCTTCACAGTATCTGCCTTGGATCCAGACGTAGCTGAGAATGCCCTGATCACCTATTGGATAGACGAGAAGCTGTGGCCATTATCAAGCTACATCTCTGTACATTCAGAGAGTGGAAAGCTCTATGCTCTGCAGTCCTTGGACTATGAGGAGTTGAAACTGCTGGAGTTCCAGGTGAGAGCCAAGGATGCTGGAATGCCCTCCTTGTGTGGCAATGCGACTGTTCAAGTCTTTGTGCTGGACGAGAACGACAACGCACCTGCCGTGACAGGATCATCAGAAGAGAACCTGATTCTTCTAGTGGTCCCCGTGATGCCTGGGCATATTGTAGGCAAGATCCATGCCTTGGATGCGGATTCTGGATACAATGCGTGGCTCAGGTACGAACTGCTTGAAGAAAGCAGTGGCCCATGGTCTGTGGGCCAGTATAGTGGTGAGGTGAGTACCAAATATCCTCTGGATGAGTCAGAAGGAGGCAAAATTCAGAGTGTTCTGGTTCTTATGAAAGACCATGGGAAGCCTCAGCTCTCAGCCACAGCCACCCTGAGTGTGTCACTGGTGACAAGTGGTCAGACAATCAAAACCGATATTAACCTTCGAAGGTCAGGGGAGAGCTTTGTGCCCCTGGTGGACTCGATCAACATCTATCTGATCATTGCCATCTGCTCTGTTTCCAGCCTCTTCTTGCTGGCCACTCTCATCTATGTGGCCCTGCGATGCCACTGCAAGGCAAAGGAATCCATGGTTTATGGCCCTGGCATGGCCACCCTGGTCTGTGCCAGTGAAGTGGGCAGCTGGTCCTATTCCAATCGCCACAGCCACATCCTGGCAGGTGTGAGTGCAGAGGCTGGTGCCAAGAGTGACCTTATGATTTTCAGTCCCAACATTCCTGTTTTTTCAAATAATGGGGAACTTAGGAATGGGACAGAATCACCCTCAGATTCAGCTAAAGAGGTGAGTTTCTGGGTTGGAGTTTTTGATATTTGTTCAAAATCACATTTCTGTGGTATCACATTAGGATCAATCTTGATTGTCTATCTCTCTGTTTGTTTATCAGAATGATCTTGTGGTTTTTAGTCCTAACTTCCCTGTTTTTGTAAATAATGATAAATTTAGGAATGGGAGAGAGATGCCCTCAAATTCATCTAAAGAGATGAGTTCTACTATTTTTGAAAACCTGGACATCAAGCTAACATTAGATCTCTGTGGTATCAAATTAAATTGGTTTTAATATAATATTCATTAGTTTTAATTTGCCAGTCATGCTAGTAAATACATAGTTTTATTTATTTATTTATTTATTTTATTTATTTATGAGACTTATATACCGCTTTAAGTGCGAGCACTCTCTAAGCGGTGTACACCAGTAAGCAATGTATATATATATTTACATTGCCCCCAACAATTCCTCATTTTACCTACCCTGGAAGGATGGAAGGCTGAGTCAACCTTGAGCCGGTGAGATTTGAACCGCTGACCTGCTGAACACAGTCAGCTAAAGTGGCCTGCAGTACTGCACCCTAACTGCTGTGCCACCTCGGCTCATTATATCTGGTTTATAGAAACAAAAATCCATAATTCTTATTTCTAAGGGATTCTGTTAGAATGGAAATGGCTACAGAATATACACTCTGAATTTATTCTTTATTTAATAGTGAACAAATTTGTCTTATGCAACAGCAAAAGGATAAGGGCTATTAAGGGATGTTAATAGGGAATATTATGTCTCTGTTCTGCCACTTTATTCTTCAGTTTATAATTTTTCTGGAAAACAGGTGGAACATTCTAAATTGTTCATTTAATTCTTAATCTGAAATATCTGTTATCTCTCCTCTCATCAATTAATTCTTTACAATCAAAATAGAGATGAGAAATACTGCATACAATCATACATACATATATAGTGTTGTGTTGAAACTGGCAATTGCCTGGTCAAGGCCATACAGTTTTCTTGATAAGGTTTTTGGAAGTGGTTTGCCACAGCCGTCTTCCTAAGGCTGTAGGTGGACCAAGTCACTCTGCAAGCTTCAAGCTGAAGACAGGACTCAATCTCATTGTGTCCTGGTTTCCAGTAAGTGCCTTTAACTGCTACAACAAACTGCTTTGCCTGTACATTATATTAATTTGTAAAAGCAAATTTCTAAAAAAATAATTTTAATAGTTGTTTTATTCTTGCTAATTATTTCATTATTTTATGAACATAGGATAGATTTTCAATGTTGTGCTTCTTTCCAAATTATACAGTAGTTTTGACTTGAGATCACTTGCAAATAAATATGAGTAAAATCATATTAATTAAATGGAATTCAACATAGATAAAAGTAAGATTTTATACCTAGGCAAGAAAAACCAACTGTATAGGTATAGGCTAGGTGAAACTTGGCTTAATGCCAGTAACTTTGAGAAGGATTTTGAAGTCCTAGTGGACAATCACTTAAATAAGAGTGAACAGTGTGCAGAGGCAGCCACAAAAGCCCACACAGTCCTAGGCTGCATTAATAGAGGGATAGATTCAAGATCAAGTGAAGTGTTAGTACCACTTTATAAGACCTTGGTAAGACCACATTTGAAAGACTACATACAGTTCTGGTCATCACTATTTAAAAATAATGTTGAGACTCTGGAAAGAGAAGAGCAACAAGAATGATTAGGGGGCCAGAGACTAAAACATATGAAGAACGGTTCCAGGAATTGGCTATGTCTAGTCTAATAAAAAGAAGGACTAGGGGAGACATGATAGAAGTGTTGTAATATTTGAGGGGTTCCTACAAAGACAAGGGGATCAAATTCTTTTCCAAAGGACCAAAAGGCAAGACAAGAAACAATGAATGGAAACTAACCAAGGAGAGAAGCAATCAAGAACTAAGGAGAAATTTCCTAACGGTGAGAGCAATCAACCAATGGAACAGCTTGCCTTCAGAAGTTGTGGGTGTTCCATCACTGAAGGCTTTAAAAAAAACTGGACAACCTTTTATTTGAAACAGCATATGGTCTCCTGCTTGAGTAGGGGGTTGGACTAGAAGACCTTTAAGGTCCCTTCCAACTCTACTATTCTGTGTTCTAGTATACAAATTATTCAGAAACATCTATAATTTTTTCCTAACTTTTTCTGATCTTATTGGTTTTTCATTTTTGGAAATAGAATTTATAATATTGTGAAGGGCTGAACATTTTAAAGTAATTAATGCACTAATAAATGTCAAGTTGCATGAAAATAAATAATGCAGAAACAAACTGCATACAATATATACGAAAATTTTGTTGATGACTAGACTGATATATCTGTAGAATGAAAGTCATCAAATGCTTATTTGGCATTACAGCCCTTAATAACTTACATGCTTTGTGAACTAAAACACTCATTATATGAATTGTACGGTTTTAAAGGAATCTTCTTCCAAAATGAGTAAAAGTTATCTAATAGCATCAGTGAGCATCATTGTCAATTAAACCCAATAGGTAATCCATATTCATGCTTCTTTTGAATTGAGATCTGCTTTCCATCAAAAGGTATATTGGGGAGACCCTAAGTATAGACATCAAGAACTAAGATTGCATGGCCTCCAAAAAGGAGAAGTTTTTCTATATACAGGCCTGAGTGCTATATAAGATCTCATCAACAGACCTACCAATGGAAAACCTTAATTGTAGAGGGAATATGCAAACCTCCATTTTGAAAAAAGAATCTCTGGTCAGATTCTATATTGTGCATAATCAATCCTCTGGGTACATGAAGTCTGGAAAACAACACCCAGATATCTAGATGTTTTAATTTGCTCTGTTTTGTGTCTACAAAATACTGCTAGCCATAATTAATTAAACTTTTAGAAAAGATCATGAATTTAGTCTTCGGCTGATTTGCATGGTTTTTTTTTAGCATGATAGAAGTAAAAACCTATTATTTTCAGTCCTACAGTTTAATACTGAAGAAAGACTGCAGTAAGGTAGGAACCTATGTGCTTCATTGATTATAGAAAGGCCTTTGATTGTGTTGATAATATTAAGCTATAGAATGTGTTTAGAAAAATGGGAATCTCAGAACATTTCATTGTCCTCATGCGAAACTTATATATAGCTTAAGAATGGACAGAATATGGTGAAACAGACTCTAGGTTGGCATAGAAGTGAAACAAGAATTTATGTTCTCCTTTCATTATTCAACCTGCTGAATATATGTCAGGAGAAGCTGGATTAGAAGAAAATGTATGTGATTTTTAAATTGGAGGAAGAAACAACAGCAACACATGCTATGCTGATGACACTACTCTAATACCTGAAAAGGCAAGGGATCTGGAAAATCTATAATAAAAACCAAGCAGCATAGCAAAAATTTGGGCTAAAACTGAATATAAAGAAAACTAAACTATGAGCCGAGGTGGCGCAGCAGTTAGAGTGCAGTACTGCAGGCCACTTTAGCTGACTGTGTTCAGCAGGTCAGCGGTTCCAATCTCACCGGCTCAAGGTTGACTCAGCCTTCCATCCCTCCGAGGTAGGTAAAATGAGGACCCAGATTGTTGGGGGCAATGTAAATATATACATACATTGCTTACTGGTGTACACTGCTTAGAGAGTGCTTGCACTTAAAGCGGTATATAAGTCTCATAAATAAATAAATAAATGACAACTGGTACAACAAGCAGCCTTAAAATTGACAATGACGATGTCAAAGTATTGGATAGCTGCTGTCTTATCAACCATAAACAGTAAAGGAACAAGCAATCAAGAAATACATCACAGACTAGCACATGGTAGAGTATGAAGGCCTTGGAAAAGATATTCAGATGCAATGATTTGTCTACACCTACAAAGATCAGAATTGTGCAAGCAATGCTATTCCTTGTGATAATCTATAGAAGTGAAAACTGGACTTTGAAAAAACAGGATAGAAAGAGTATCATTTCATACTTCACTGTGTTAAGCTTTCCCATGTTCACACTTCTTATGTTCCATGTTTCCACTATAATTTGTCTTTGCAGCTTTGGATTTTCTTTTCCTACATAGTAACATCAACAACTAAAGATCTTGAAGACTTTAATCTAGTAACATTAGAATGCCATTAATGCTCTGGAAAATTCTCTGCTTTTTATTAGTAACATGTTGACTGCCATCTAACTTGAGTGGGACTATCAGCTGACTCAATATCATCAGTTCCTTTATAATTTCTATGCATGAGATTTTCTTGGTAAAAAACAGGAGAGGTTTACCATTGCCTTCTTCTGAAATTATGCTTTTGAAATTGTTACTAAAGTGAACTTGTGCCTACAGCATCTTCCTATATCACTGCTGCCCCATATAGATGCCTGCTTGGTTTAGTTGGGCAGCTGGGATAATCTTCAAACTTTGGGTGACCCTGTTTGACTTATATAGCCTTGGCATACACTTCTGGAATTCTTCAGTCATCCTTCTCAACAATACCTCCCACCATTCCTCTTAGGTCAGCACAGCAAGATGATCGATCAATAGAAATACAGTTTCCAAATTATAGAATGGAAGTACGGATTGCACTCTAATATACATAGGCTAAACCTCATGTAAAGTGCTTTTCTTTTGGGCCGAACACTTGTGTGTTTGTGACAAATTGGGAAATATGCAAATAGAGCAATGAAGATTATCAGAAGCTGGACAGAAAGTTATATGAACAAAAGAAAGTAGATAAGTCAACCTTGAGGAAAGAAGACTGGATTGAAGGAAAATAGACTATTCAAGAAGCTGAAAAGATGTGATACAGAAGAAGGTGCGTGTCCCTTCCTCACCACTCCATGTGTATCCCTCCCAAAGGTGCATGCTCAGTGGAAGAGGACAACCATCCCAGATAAGAAGACTATACTGATCTTCATCAAGGGCATCATAGTTGCTCTCCTTTGCTGGTACCGCCAAACAAGCTCAAGGTCCAAAGTTTGTTAGAGTCATATGGATTACTAGATACTTTGTGCCATATGATTGAATTATTCTGGCAAGATAGAAGGGGATTCCTACAGTTAGATAAGTATTAACAACAAAAGGTTTATCTCCAATGGAAGTCTCAGACAGATTTTGGTTAAGAACTGCCACATCCTGACCAAGAAATAGAAAGATGTTCAAATTTAACAGCATTTTCTTCTACTTTTGCTTACTTCTTTGGCATGAAAATTACATAGCTCTGCATCTTGCTCATAAACCTTGTTGAAATGATTTGAAGCCTATCCACCTTCCTCCCAATGCTATCATAATCACTTTAAGTAATGGAAGAAATTATTAGAAATCATTAGTTACACATTTCCTGTCCATGCAAATAAAAACTCCAACCCATAAATATATGGAATGAATTAAATTACAGTTAGTCATTTAAATATTTAAACATTTAATATTTAAATCAGTCCATATATTCTGTATTGGTATTTGTATCAACAGGAGATGTGTAAAAAAAGCATATATGAAGACTAAATCATTATTAGAAATCTGTCATGAATGAAAGTCTGTTTCTCCATTTTGAAATTCAGACACAAGAGGTCACTGTTTCCTAAGGAAAATTTAAGTGAAACTGCAAATCCAGAGCCCCTCCCTTAAAGGGACCAACATTCTTGCCAGCCAGTTCCAAAGCAGGAACATCAAAAAACAAAGAAAGCTCAACAAGATCCAACCTATGAAAGCATTGCCAGTATGGCTGGGCTACGTGGGCTCCGCTCCTGACCCCGTGAAGGCAAGATATTTAGAGAAAAAGAGAAGGGCTTGAGGGTACTGTGCCTGTGTCTGCGATGCTTACCTGGCCGAAGGGGCTGCTGCAGCTGCTTCTGCTCCAGACCGCCTGGAAAATGGGGAGCGGCCAGCTCCATTATTCTGTGCTGGAGGAATCCCAGCACGGCACCTTTGTGGGCCGCATCGCCCAGGATCTGGGGTTGGAGGTGAGCGAGCTGGTGCCTCGGATGTTCCGGATGCTGTCCAAAGGAGAGAAGGACTATTTTGAGGTAAACCTGCAGAATGGGATCTTGTTTGTAAATTCCCGGATAGACAGGGAGGAGCTGTGTGCCAAGACTGCAGACTGTGTCCTTCATCTGGAGGTGATTGTGGAGGAACCTCTGAGGTTCTTCCATGTGGAGGTGGAAGTCAAAGACATGAATGACAATGCTCCCGTCTTCTCTGCCAGGGAACAGATCCTGAGCATAGCAGAACTCATAACCTCTGACACCCAGTTCCTATTAGAAGGAGCATCTGATGCAGATATTGGTACCAATGCGCTGTTAACCTACAAGCTCAGCATGAATAACCATTTTGTTCTTGATTCAGGAAGTGATGAAGATGAGAGCAACTCTGTACTACTTGAACTGAAGATTCCACTTGACAGGGAGGAGAGCCCTGTGCATCATTTAGTACTGACAGCCACTGATGGGGGTGAACCAAAACTCACAGGAACTGTTCAGCTGGTCATCAATGTGCTGGATGTTAATGACAACCCTCCTGTATTTAACCAATCTGTTTATAGGGTAAAGTTGCTAGAAAATACTCCTAGTGGGTCATTAGTTATTACTCTGAATGCTACAGACTTAGATGAAGGGATAAATAGAGAAATTATTTATTTTTTTAGTAATAGCCTACCTCTACACGTCACAAAGATATTTAGTATAATTTCTGATACTGGGGAAATTAGAGTAATTGGAAAATTGGATTATGAAGACATTAATTTTTATGATCTTCAAATTATTGCAGAAGATAGAGGGAATTTTCCACTGTCAGGGCACTGTAAAGTTCTTCTTGAAATACTGGATACAAATGACAATATTCCTGAAATATCAGTGAATTCCCTTTCAATACCTGTTGTTGAAAACTCACCTTCAGGGAGTGTAGTGGCAATACTCAGTGTTTCAGACAAGGATTCTGGCACCAATGGACAAATCAATTGTTTCCTCTTTCCCCCTGGAGTACCCTTCAAACTCGAATCCACATTCAAGAACTACTACTCCCTGATTGTTGGTGCAGTCCTAGATCGAGAGCAGGTGGCTGAGTACAGGATGGTTGTGACAGTGGAAGATCAAGGTGTTCCAGCCCTGTCTTCTAGCATCAGCCTCTTAGTGCCTATCAGTGACATAAATGATAATGCTCCAGCTTTCACACAGCCCTCCTACACAGTCTTTGTGAAGGAGAACAATCCCCCTGGTGCTCACATCTTCACAGTATCTGCCTTGGACCCAGACGTAGCTGAGAATGCCCTGATCACCTATTGGATAGACGAGAAGCTGTGGCCATTGTTAAGCTACATCTCTATACATTCGGAGAATGGAAAGCTCTATGCTCTGCAGTCCTTGGACTATGAGGAGTTGAAATTGCTGGAGTTCCAGGTGAGAGCCAAGGATGCTGGAATGCCCTCCTTGTGTGGCAATGCGACTGTTCAGATCTTTGTGCTGGACGAGAACGACAACGCACCTGCCGTGTCAGGATCATCAGAAGAGAACCTGATTCTTCTAGTGGTCCCCGTGATGCCTGGGCATATTGTAGGCAAGATTCATGCCTTTGATGCAGATTCTGGCTACAATGCATGGCTCAGGTACGAATTGATTGAAGAAAGCAGTGTTACATGGTCTGTGGGCCAGTATAGCGGTGAGGTGAGTACCAAATATCCTCTGGAGGAGTCAGAAGGAGGCAAAATCCAGAGTGTTCTGGTTCTTGTGAAGGACCATGGGAAGCCTCAACTCTCAGCCACAGCCACCCTAAGTATGTCACTGGTGACAAGTGGTCAGACAATCAAAACGGATATTAATCTTCGAAGGTCAGGGGAGACCTTCATGCCCCTGGTGGACTCGATCAACATCTATCTGATCATTGCCATCTGCTCTGTTTCCAGCCTCTTCTTGCTGGCCATTCTCATCTACGTGGCCCTGCGATGCCACTGCAAGGCAAAGGAATCCATGGTTTATGGCCCTGGCATGGCCACCCTGGTCTGTGCCAGTGAAGTGGGCAGCTGGTCCTATTCCAATCGCCACAGCCACATCCTGGCAGGGGTGAGCGCAGAGGCTGGTGCCAAGAGTGACCTTATGATTTTCAGTCCCAACATTCCCGTTTTTGCAAATAATGGGGAACATAAGAATGAAGCAGAAAGGCCCCCAAATTCATCTAATGAGGTAAGTTGTGCTGTTTATGGAATCCTTGACATTCGGACAACATTAGATTAATGTGGTATCTGGGTAGGATCAGTTAATACAATACTGATTTTTAAATTATATATCAGATTTAATTTGACAGTTCTGTAAGTAAATACATAGCTCTCTTTCTGGTTTATAAGTTTTAGCTAAGTGAACAAATTCATTTTCTAATAATTTTCTATTTCTAAGAATTGTTTTTTAATGGAAATAGCTACTGGAATATACACTTTGCAGTTGTATTAATAGCCTGGAACTTTTTACCTAAGAAAATAATGATAAATATAGTCTTCATATATTCTGCTTTACTTTTTAATTCCAATACTAAAGAGGTGATATATTTAAAGTATTTAACTACATTCATTAAACATTTAACAAATCTGTGTTATCCCTTCTTCTTATCATATATCCCTTTCATTTTGAATGGGAACAAGAAATGGAACACTGATACAAGCATAAAGTAGGTTTCCAGTCTTGATAATAAGCAAATAGCCCTGATAATATATTATTCTGTTTATATTTTATTTTGTATACAAGTAGAAAATTGGTAATGATTCTTGTTGATAGTTTCATCCTTTAACCAGTCCAGAATGGATTTTCAAGCTGATGCCTCTTTTAGGAACAATATTTAAGGCTGATCGACTGCAAATTTATTAAACATCATTTAACAGCTTGATATACAGAAGTATTAATGCATACATTTGTTGGAATTTTAAATCTTTTTTTGTTATCTTGAAAACAGATTTATAATATTTTAAGTACTTGGAGAGGACTAATATATCATCATCATCATCATCATCATCATTATTATTATGGATCATCGCACAGTCAGCCAGATGTTCAGACTGGATTTGGCGTTTTGTCTACCTATCGAGTCCTTACCAAGGACCTGGGATAGGCAGATGTGGATGTTTAATGGTATTACAGATATCGTCACAGGATGGAAGCAGTTCCTAGTAAGGCTGCCCTTTGCAATTGACTAATCGTGAATTTGTCAATGCCAATGGTGTTCAAGTGGTGCTCCAGTTGTTTTGGGATTGCACCCAAGGTGCCTATTACTATTGGTACTACCCTTGCTTGCTTTTGCCATAGTCTTTCTATTTCTATTTGTAGGTCTTTGTATTTTATTATCTTCTCCAGTTCTTTCTCTTCTATTCTGCTGTCTCCAGACACTGCCACGTCCACTATCCAGACTTTCTTGTCTTTCTTATCGACAATTGTTAAGTCTGGGGTGTTATGTTGCAGGTGCTTGTCTGTCTGAATTCTGAAGTCTCAGAGCACTTTAATTTTATCATTTTCTATGACTTTCTCTATTTTATGATCCCACCAGTTCTTGTTTACAGGCAAATGATATTTCTTGTATAATAATAATAATAATAATAATAATAATAATAATAATAATAATAATTAGTATATCAGGAAGGCTTACTAACTACTGGAGAGACCAAACTGGCCTACAAGAAAGACCAAATGAAGAACAGAATAGAGGCATGGGAAGACAAAGCACTACATGGCCAATACATGAAAAAAATAGCTGGGAAAGCAGATAATAATAAAACCTGGCAATGGCTAAGAGCAGGAAAATTGAAGAAAGAGACCGAGGGACTAATTCTGGCTGCACAAGACCAAGCCTTAAGGACAAATGCATACAAAGTCAAAATTGAGAAGACAGCAACAGACAGTAAGTGCCGCCTATGCAAAGAAGCTGAAGAAACAGTGGACCACTTGGTAAGCTGTTGCAAGAAGATTGCACAGACTGATTACAAGCAGCGGCATGATAAAGTAGCAACAATGGTGCATTGGAAGATCTGCAAAAAATATCATTTGCCTGTAAGCAAAACTGGTGGGATCATAAAATAGAGAAAGTCATAGAAAATGATAAAATTAAACTGCTCTGGGACTTCAGAATTCAAACAGACAAGCACCTGCAACATAACACCCCAGACTTAACAATTGTCGATAAGAAAGACAAAAAAGTCTGGATAGTGGACGTGGCAGTGCCTGGAGATAGCAGAATAGAAGAGAAAGAACTGGAGAAGATAACAAAATACAATGACCTACAAATAGAAATAGAAAGACTGTGGCAAAAGCAAGCAAGGGTAGTACCAATAGTCATAGGCTCCTTGGGTGCAATCCCAAATCAACTGGAGCACCACTTGAACACCATTGGCATTGACAAATTCGCTATTAGTCAATTGCAAAAGGCGGCCTTATTAGGAACTGCTTCCATCCTGCGACGATATCTGTAATACCAGCAAACATCCACATCTGCCTATCCCAGGTCCTGGGTAAGGACTCGATAGGTAGACAAAATGCCAAATCCAGTCTGAACATCTGGCTGACTGTGCGATGATCGATAATAATAATAATAGAGTTGGAAGGGACCTTGGAGGTCTTCTAGTCCAACCCCCTGCTCAGGCAGGAAACCCTATACCATTTCAGACAAATGATTGTCTAGTCTCTTCTTAAAAACTTCCAGTGTTGGAGCATTCACAGCTTGTGGAGGCAGGTTGTTCCACTGATTAATTGTTCTAATTATATTTGATGATTATGCTGTTATAATCCCTTGAATAAAAATCATCAAGGGATCACTTTACAATATACTTTAACTTAGGCATTTACTACTTTAAATGGCTTTTTAAATCTTGAACACACATGATGTTGACTGTTGAATCATAATGCTGTTGCCATTTCTGAATTACCACATTTTTTTTGATGTGTTGAAGAAATCAGTAGAAATTTATTTGGCAAGATCCCTCTCAACTGCTATATTTTTTCTATTAATATCTGAGCATGTTTTCAATGTAGTATGGCCTTATTCTGCTAAAAGAAAAACTCAATATAACATCTAGCTCAAATCCAGTT